TTTTAAAAGATATTAACTGCCCCACTTCCTTTCCCAGTGGGCACCCAGCCTGTAATCTCCCAACCTGTTTATTAGATCATTTGTCAAAGCCTCTGAGCTTTTCTGCTCACTTTCCCCCACCCCTACATTTTGTCATCTTCCTCTCCTGAAGGCGGGTTGTGTGTGTGTGTGTGTGTCTGTATGAGAACAAGGAGAGTGAAAGTGCAATAGGCCTCCAAGATTAACTCCTTGTCTGTCTTTCTTTTCCTTTTTAAAAGAGAATTTACAGCTGATTAGCCTCCACTGTAAAGACAGGCCCCCGGTCCCTGAAGGAACTCTGCTAAACATTTACGCAAGGCCAGACGCAGGGACCCTTACAAAAAAACACATGTTCTTCCAGGACCCCTCAGAGACATCTGGGAGGCGACTGAATCTGAAAAAAAAAAAAACAACAAAAAAAATAGCTGCAGAAACATTCTCAAGACATCACTATTGGAATGTGTGTGGACACATGAAGATTATATGCCAAAATGTACAAATACAGAAATATAAAAGTTGCCAACAATCATATACCCAACATTTAAAGGCATTTGTAAAAACAATTAGCTAAAAAAATCTTAATCTTAATCAATATTAAAAAATGTCAAAAAATAAATAAAAAAATAAAAAAGACGTGGAATTATAATGAATCTGTAAATGGACTTTTGGTTTGCATTTAAAGTTAGCTTCTCCCAGAATCACTCACTGTTTCCCATCTTGTCTGCATATATGTGTGTGGGCAGGACAGAGAGAGAGAGAGAGAGGGAGTGGAGAGTGAGTGAGTTTTATTACAGCTGAAGACCTGGTGTACGATGAGGCGGCGGCTACATGCACATGCAGAAGCCCTGGTTTGCGCAGCTGCCAGGTCTGGGCTCCTACGTGTGCTCTGTCTTCACCATGTGCCCACAGAGTACACACAGCAGCCACAGGTATGTCCCCATCACCGGGGGCTGCACCAGTCACAGCCAGGGTGCTGTCAGAAGCTCTACGTCGTCCTGTCAAGTTAATGAGAAGTGAGTGCGTCTTTACTGCCAGTGCACGGCCGATTGTTCCATTTACATGCCATCCGCTGACTGATCTATGGAGCCTTTAAGGTGAAGCCAGAGATCTGATGAGAGCGTCTCCTATAGGCCGTTTGTCTGTTTGTACGGGCAGCGGGAGTGTATCTGACACACGTGTGAAGGTTTGTGTTCGTCTGTGGGTGGGAACGTTGGTTCACCACAGTGGAAAATATCCCAAAGATGAAGTGATGGTAAAAAAAAACATTTGCCCTATGATTTAATCTGATTAATGCTGTGGATTAATCACGATTAATCTTGATAAATCAACATTTCAACAAAAAAAACAATATTAGTTTATAGTCTACTGTTCATCACAATTCTTTTGACAATTGTGTCCGTCAGTTTGTCAGTCGTAACTTCCTGCCCTGTCCTTAATGAGGCTGGTGGTACACCGGCTGGGCCACTGACCTATAGTTGAAGCCTCCACAAACATATGTTGGGCGCTGAGATGGTATTTATATGATAACTGGAGAGTGAATTTGTTGGACGTGCAGTTCATTCAGCCCATTAGTTCAAATTAACAACATTTAATCTGATTATTTTTATGTCACCAGGTCAAGTATGCGTGTAGGTGCTTCTGTGTGTTCAATAGTCATGCTCTAAAAAAATTTGAAAAACAGAAATAAAAGAGGAAACATACTTTCTTCCAGCTGAATCGTGAATGCTTCTATATCGCTATAAATGTTAAATCCTTAGTCTTAGTCATACAAGCAACAAAACGAACAAACTTTTTTTTCACGTGTATTTCCAGCGAACGATTTGATGCCAGAATACTTCCTAATATTTTACAGTTCAATCAAGAATCAGTATAAGAAAAATTCCATTTGGTTACTCATCCTTGGAGAAGATCGAAAAAAAAAGTTGCTGGCAGTGATTTTCCTGACACAATTTTAGCTGTGAGATTGAACATAAACAGAGAAGAAATGGGAAAATAATTGTGGTCGACCGGTGTGTGTGTGTGTGTGTGTGTGTGTGGTAACCAATTGCACAATTTGGATGTGATGTGAGTTTTTTCTTTGGAGTTTTGAATTTCCTGTTACATATAAGGTCCATGAACTCGCGGCCCGAAGCTGGTGCTAAAGTTGACTGGGTTCAGTTGGTCTTTCCTCGTCAAAATGAAAACCTTGTATACAGTGACATATTTCAGCCTAGCAGGCTTTTTTTTAAGTTGACTTGTTGTATTTACAAATCCGTCCGAGTGTTAGGCCTCTTTAGATGGGATTAGATTGACGGATTACAGATTAAGAACCCATCAGTGTAATTAAAAAATATTATTATTTACATAAACTTCAAAATAATTCAAATGCTATTTTTTCTAGGGATTTAAAAAAAAACTTTTATTTTTATTCTTTTTAAAACAAACAACATAGCTGTGTTAGCATAAATAAATACAGTCACCCTAAGGGCTAAAACCAAACGCTCTAAGAGGAAACAAAGGAAAAAACATCCCCCCAGTTTGAATGAGTGAATGAAGCCAGTTTGAGATTTCCCCTTCGTGGAGCTTCAGCTGAGTTGGCTGCAGGACTGAGAGTCCAGCTCTTGTCAACCAGAGCCAATGTAAACACTGGCCATTCCTCTGCAATTAGAGACGCAAAATGCATTGGACTCGCTGCACCAGCAGAACTTTCTAGTGCAATTAATGCAGCCCTGCTCTCCACGGGCAGCCGCGGATGTCTGGGATGGTTTTAAGGTGTATACAGTTTCAGTTCGAGGCCGGTCGGTGGAAGTCTGATTGGGCAGGTTGGACTCATCATGGAAGTATAAACATGAGGTTGGACGTGAGCTCGGCAGTCGGGGTGTTGGTCGGGTCAGCCGGGTAGGGTCAATCCTGCGAGGATGCGACACATGTGGTAGGAAGATGGGTTAAGAGGGGCAGATTTGACAAAATCAAAAGCAAAAATAAAAAAAATAAAAGCTTTAAAACATGAGTGAATTAATTACTTAAATTGACATTTTGGCTAAAAACAATTATTATGCCTTATTTTTAATTAGTTGTTTTCATCTGATATACAGTATTTCATCATCTTGTATTTAAAACTACTGTTGTATGTAGAAATGTTAGTGAGTGATGTTTTTACATTAAGTCAATTTTACCCGATGCTCTGTGAACTACAAACTACAAGCTGTAGGATGAATACATAAATATATAGAAACATATAGTAAATCAGGTTAAACAGCTCCAGGTCTGAGGTTTTACCAAACGGGTATAAAAGAATTTTGTTCTTATTGTCCGGTCACCATTGTCTGCTGTGTGTTCCTGAGGTGTTGGTTTGCATTACCAGCCTGGGGCCCTTCACCCTCTCAAAGATAGTTTGCTAACAGAGCTTTCACTCCAATATCTCTAATGAAAATCCATACTAAACATTTAGCTGTGTGTGAGAAAGGGGGCAAATTCAATAAGACACATAACGCAATTTATAATTTACAGGAAGAACCAATCGAACCGACAGGCGTAGAGTTGTGGAGCTGGCAGAGATGTTTTTTTTTTTTTTATGTTTACATCTGTTCATTTTGTTACATTTCCGAAAAAACCACTGTGCATTGCAGCTTTCTGTGGGCTGTCAGCACGGAGACGTTAAAATCTCTTTTTCAGCCCAAAATGTCCAGTCCAATGCTGTGTTTTTGTTCCGTCTTCCTCCTCGTAGTGAGTGTCAGTCAGCCTGCCAGAGACGTCTCCAGTGGGGTATTCCCCAAACTAATGGTCGCTCTTTGACAGCGCCATCGATAGTAAACTAATCTGCAGGCTGCAAGGCACAGGAAACAGATCTCATTAGCACTCACTGAACTATCTTCCAAGGAAACTTTTGTCTACAGACCACTTGGACAATAGGCCTAAAAGCCAGACTAATGTCACTTACTAGTCCTGGGTTTAATGGCTGATTGACGTATGTAATAGATGAATGGGCAGCAGGAGAGTAAAGTAATGTAGGTGAAATTGTTTTTCTTTTTAAAAGCACTACTACAATTGTGTTAGCTTGGGTAGTTTTTGAACTTTGCCCTTTTTGATTTTTTTTTTTTTACTGCAGTGTTTGGCAAAAATACACCATAACGTTCACTTCATTATTATTATTATTATTATTATTATTATATTGACCTATATGACCTAGAAAAGGTTTTGTGTCTCAGTTTAAGAAAGCAAAAATATTTAAAAATTTTTAACTAACTTTAACTAATAAGAGAAATGTTTTTTGCAACAAGTGATATTAAAAAAAAGGTGAAAATGTAAAAAAACAAACAAAACAAAAAAAAACAACAGACAACACAATAAATAAAGTCCAAATAAAATAAGGTTAAAGAGGCTAACAGAGCCATAAGCCTTAAGACACTGCTACAATAAAAGGTGCATGTTTGTTTCTGTGGAGAGAAAGATTTTGTGAAGAAACAGTTTTTAATGTTCTTGATTTGATTTGTTGGTTAGGGTTAGGGAGTACCAAACAATCTGGAAAAGAGGGTTTATAATCTGTTGGCTTTAGAAGTCATTTTTTTAAAACTTCACTTTACCAGTAGTTGTGGATATTTTTCCTTCTTTCGAGTTCCATGTCGTACAGAATACTAAAATTTCCCTAACGTCTGATGCACACCGTGAAATTAATAGTGTGTATGTAGTTTAAAAGAGAAGACAAGTAGTTGGAGGAAAAAAGGTCTATACACATAGACTGACAACGATAAGAGCTCTGTTTAATATCAACACTTTTCAATCCCTTAACGTCCTGCAAACGACGACATTTTGAGAGAAAAAAATAATAGATTAGCTAATCAAAGGTACATTTTGGAAATAAGCTGCAAAAGAAAATAATACACGGTCGGACGCCGGCTAAATTAATCTAGAGTAATGCCACCACACTGTGGCAAAGATGTGAAGTGCAGCTACACCTTTATTCGCATTCTGCTCTGTTGGCTTCGAGTGGTTAACGTCACATCTCGCGATATTTGATTTGCTGTTTGTTTATAACACTACTTCCTACCTGCGGATAGCTTTGTCTGTGCTAAGTGAAGTTGATAAACAAATAACAGAAATCAGCCGCAAAGATGGGATGTGATGGTGGTACGATTCCTAAGAGGCACGAGTTGGTGAAAGGCCCAAAGAAAGTCGAGCAGGTTTGTTATTAAGTCTTTATCTTTCTCATTTGCGAGTCTTCTGATAGCTGTTAGCATTAGCATGCTTGCCATGAAGCCAATCTGCTTATATTTTTAACTACAAAACCATTCTTAGGAAACATATTTAGACACGCTGAGGAAGTATAACACACCTGTATATATATATCCATATGTCTGCGTTAGAAATTCCATGTGTTCTAGTATCTTACGTGATTAAATTCATGCTAACATTTCGTTAACCAGTTTGTGGTATATGGCCGAGTCTAAAATACTAATGCTGCGTTTTTATCTACTGAACGCGCATTATTTGTTCAGAATGTTTACGTTAAACGTGTTAAATACGTAGTTAAATACAGGCGCATTTAACTACCGCACATGCATTTGCATAAATTGTTTGTAGCACACAACACGTAACATTGGTTATATCTGACATAAATGTGCGCATATAACATTGGTTATATCTGACATAAATGTTATTCCATCGAACGTGGTTTGATTCTAGGTCGATAAAAATGCAGAGCTGGCGGCAAAGTGGAAATATTGTGCCCTGAGTCAAGAAAAACTAAGACGACCTATCGTTTCATGTGACCTAGGAAGGTAAGATTTCAATTTTTTCAGTCCCCAAAAGGGAAAACCGCCACACTCGTCATCAGTGGTACGTTTATATCAGTACGTGTAATGCGGCATAATATGTACTACACACCATGTTTCAGGTTATACAATAAAGATGCTATCATCGAATATCTTCTGGATAAGACTGCTGAGAGGCCCAATACTGAGGCTGTTGTTCACATCCGAGCACTTAAGGTGAGGTTAAATCACTTACTGTATATGTGGCACAAATGTGTGGGTTATATTTATGTTCAATTCACATGTAATTTCACCCAACAGTTCTTAAAGTAAATTTTAAAATTATATTTTTAGGACATAAAGGAGCTGAACTTGACTGATAATCCTGAGTGGGAAGGAGAGAGGAGAAATGCTAAGGGAGATCGTTATGAGGACATCCACTGTGGCATGTTTATTTGCCCTGTTGTTGGACTGGAGATGAATGGAAAGCACAGGTAAATAACAGAAAATCTTTAAGCTAAGAAATAACTTTCATGTAAAGTACTATTTTAGGTAGAATCACAAGATCCTCAAAGGGTTAAATCTGTTCTGTGAAGCACTTTGTAATAGTTGTCAGGACTTAATAAACAGTAAATACATCCAAACGGTTAAGTGTGGTAGTCCCATTTAGTTATGTAGTAAATGTCAAAAATATAGTCCCATAATGTTTAAAGTTTTGAACTTTGGCAATTTACGTTTACAGATTTTGCTATTTGCAAACCTGTGGCTGTGTTTTCTCCGAGCGGGCCCTGAAGGAGGTAAAGACAGAAATCTGCCACAAGGTAAGAATCTTCTTATCCTGTTTTTCCCTCTCTGTCTCCTTTTACTTTTTTTGTTATTGTTGTATTGTTGTTGTACTTTTTAGAAAGTCTTTTAAAAAAATCAAAATAAGTTCCAAACTTGTGGGGTGCAGCTGAGTAATTTATTAAAAACTACAATTAAACCACAATAATAAGTTAACCAAAAGTTGACAGCAACAGAACAGCAATATTAAATAAATACAAAAATATTAAAAATAAGTCACAGTATTTAATTCAATACTGTTGAAAGTCTAGGTCTGACATACAGCTAGCCTTTGTTACTTCAAGCTTTCTTGGTAATCTTGTATACACACATCTCTGGCTCATACAGTACACAGTTTTACACTACACATTTAGACAACAGTCAAAGTACAGACCTAATCCTTGAATGGTTTTTTTAACAAGCTAAACTATATCTGTGCTTTTAGTCGAATTTGAACAACAGATTCATTCTTGACCAGTGACTTAGCTGCTGCTACTTGAGTTGCTCTTTGTAACTAGCAGCCATGGTGGTTCCACTGGCACAGATGACTGACTCAGCACCTTTTGTCTGTGCCACTCTTCCAGACAATCCACTGTCTCGGGAAATGAGTTGGACTCAAACTTATTGGCAAACATGCTGTTTTTGTTAATCAGCCAGGGCAGGTCTCCTATTCCATAGATGCAGATGTTATGAACATAATGTCCTGGAAAAAGAGTCATTTTACAGACAGATACTTTTAGACTTCTGGGTTTGATTTCAGAGGTATTATTATTGTCACAAGTTATAAATGCAACAAATAGAAGAACGTGGTTTAATGACAATACTATAATTTTTGGACTATGATCAGCAACTTTTTTCACACACTGAAATGATGTGGCTAATTTATCGATTTTTATGGGCTACACTTCCTACCGCTAGCGATCAATGACGTTTCTGGTAGGCTACTGTGTGTTAAACTAGTAGCATATGTCTGTCTGTGAATGGTTGTATGCGCATACGTGCGTGGGGCGTGTGCAAGAGAGAAAAGAAGCTAAAGTTGAGAGCAGTTGTCACCCTGTCATGTTGAAGCGTGAGTTGGTTATACAGGAGCTGTTAAACCTCTGTTTATGTTCTGTTGTGTTTGGTGTGGCTGATAATAAAGACCCTAACTTCACTGTTTACCTTTGTGCTTGCTGCGGACAAGCACAAAGTGAAGGGAGTTAGCCCCGGAGCTAATGTTAGCTTCGGCCCTGGAGCAGATCACTGAGTCTCCCCTGTGCATTCAAACTATGGTTGGAGCGCTGAAGCAGGAGAGAGCTAACGTGTAACCAGCCGCATTACAGGCACTGTTCGGAAAAACAGCATTAAGTTAATTACAGTGAAAAAAAATCTTTCTGTGTAAATATCCCATGTTACAACATGGACACCTACTTCTTTATAGAGAAGTGCGAGCTATAAATTAACAATTTTTTTTCTTTTTTAATTTAGTGGTGTGGCTTATATTTAGCTGCCCCCAATAGTCCGGAAATTACGGTAATCGTTTTCCCAACAGGGTTGTATCAATATAAATAACATTTCTACCTCACCACTAATTAAACCTTAGTAGCGGATAGCTGTGTTTAACACTGGAGTTTATTGTACCTTTGCATCCGTTGTGGGTCACTCCCTCTTGATCACTCCATTTGATTGCCCTGATGTCTCCTTCCCAATTTCCATTGACATAGCTGCCTGGAGCTTCTGTAAATAGGTTACCACATTAAACTCAACTATGTAAATGAAACATTGTTTGTCTTCAATGGGTAATGTATTGTACAGTGTTGTACATTTGGTCACACGTTTGGATATTTAGAAGCGCTAGATCCTTTCGATAGTAAAACATGGGCATCACCAGTAAATACTTATGTTTGATCATTTTGGTGGAGATTCTTAAGATATTTCTTTTTTCCAAGTACTACTAGTATGACTAGTGTTAATTTGCAGTGGCAAAGGCCAACATTATTCAGCTAAAACCAGATTATGAAGAAAAGATCATTTCTTTCTCATAGGATTATTAGACAATCAGCCAACGTTGGACTGTACAATGATTGTAGCACTATGACTGGCAATTAACTTTAACACACGTGCACTCCAAATTAACATTTATGCTAGCTGTATTTAACAACATTAACAATGTCAGTGGTGCTGTAGTTTTGATACTCTTTAAATGATTCTTGTGTCAAAACCCTAGAACTGTTTATTTACAGGTGTTTTTAAATATATTTATATATATTTACCTTCAACGTGGTTCAGTGTCACCCAGTAGTGTTCGTCTGGACTAAATGTGTCTCTGGACCACTCCAAGAGGTCGCGAGCTATTGTGCTTTCCAGAACAAAGTCTACAAAGCCTCTTGTCAGGGCAAAGTAGGCAGTTCCAAAGTAAACCTGCAGGTTGTGTGGCGCAGGACTTTTCTTTCGGCCCAGTGCTTTGACATGAGATCCAGGGATCTCTAGGTGTTGCTGTTCTGTTCTTTGCTTTATGGACACTGGCTGCTTGGTCCCAGGGGTCATGTTTCTGTCCCTCCACCTTTGGCTTTGCATGTACTGCACCAGTTCTAGATTGCTCATGATGGGGAAGTCCTGGCCACACAGATTGACCACTTTCTTCCAGCGGATTTTGGACTTCGCCAGGTCACGTAGGCAGTTCAGGTCCGCCTGCAGACGAGAAAACCCGGCGTAGGTAACGATCTCACTGCGACTGGAGAGGAAGACGTTTTGAAAGCAGCCGATGATCTTCTGTACTGCCGCCTGGTACTCCCATGGAGCCTTGGCGTCCACATGAATGCAGTAGACATTTTGTGGCATGTAGATGGCCCGCAGCAGGCGCACAAATACCTCCAGTTCTTTGTGAATAGTTATAATAAATGCCATAGGGTAATCTTCTTCCTCACGGCTTAAAGGTCTGGTGATGAAGTGTAACTCTCTGGTCAAATTGTAACAATTCCGGTGACTATTGAGAATATATCCTTGTAGCTGCAGAGAGACAAACAAAGTCTCAAGACAACATGACAGACTTTAGTGAATCATTTCATCGTCATTTGTGAACAAGCATACCTGACAGTTACCCTGAAACCATTCTGCTACGTTGTCAGTGCTGGACAAGAAAGCTTGGCATTGGTTGGGAAGTGGTTTGCAACCAAACGGCTCAATGCTGTTGGGGTCTGTCGTTTTCCCCACCCTCAAGTAAATAACTGAACAGATAATAATACTGAACCCCAGGCACAACAGGAAGCTGCATTTTGTCACATTGAGCTTGTTCATTACAGCCCCACTCAGACTCGTTCAGGCTGTGGCACCACAACGGAAGTCCTTAAAAAAAGGACATCCAGATCAGTTAGTTTTCAAAAACCCAGATCTACCACATCCACCAGCATGAGTTCTTACCTTTTCTTTCCTTCCTTCTTCCCTTTGACAGAAATTTTGATTCACTGGTTTGAATAGAATAGAAATGATTCCTTGTTTTAAGTACTTTCTTTGTCAGGACTATGTCAGACTATGAGGATTAGAGAGGCAGACTGAGTTGTGTTTATCCTTCAATTTACTGCAGACATCCACCAAAATTAGCACCTCAGACACCAGGATGGTGAACAGCAGATGTTTCTTTCTCCTGAAAGTCAACAAGAGAGACAATACGTCCATAAATTTTCCAAACAAATGTTGGTCAAACTCAGCAGATGGCTTAAATAAACAAGATTAGTTAAATAAAGTCTGGCCCTCGTTTGCCCGTTTTTGGCTGAAAGACTTTTATTATCTTTGAATGAAAAAAGTAATGGGATATGACTGGATTCTTTTGGAAAGAAGTAAATTAGTAAAACTGAAGTACACTTTTTTAACTGTGTCCTACTGCGGGGCCCTGTTTTAAAAGACACAAATGATGTGGTGAGGATGTAGGCTTTTATTCATCACATACAACAGAGGCAACAGTCACTGAGGTCAGGGGCATCAGAGTACCCCCCCCCCCCAGGTCTGTATCAGCAGTCAGTCAACTGTCTCTCCCACCATTCAAAAAGACATCCAGCTTTATAGGAATTGATGTTCACTCACACTGGGGCTATTGTACTGCGAGCCAAGCATGATTGTCCCCACGTTTCAATTTAGAAGTTGTGCTGATGCTGTGTGACGTATTACGTTTTATCCCAAGCATTCGACAATAACACGTTTTTGGAGCAGTGACAACACAGGAAAATTGATATCAAGTACCCTCGCCACCTGTGCCGCCATATGATTATATCGGTCTCTCGTGTTTGTAATATTTTGTTGTCCCAGATGCAATCGCTAAAAAAAAAATCAAACTTCTGAAGCAATTAAATCTGTAAAAAAAAATAAATAGAAGAAACGCTATGACATCACTACCTGTTCCCTGATCCTATTACCAGAGCAGCTCCTCCGTATGTGTCGTCACATTCCATCCAGAATTCAGAAGGTACGGCTCAAGAGCTTTACATCTGTGTCATCCTCAACTACAGATGAACACACTATCAGCTGTAAATGACTTTCTGAAATTGATTGTCAAAATCCTCCAGTAGTTTCTGGACAAAAGAGAGGAACAGAAGAGAGGCAGGACTCTGAGCTAGAATCGGTGTTTGACTCTGAGCTTCAGTGGTTTCTAAGTGACTTTTTTTGTTGTTGTATTTGACACTAATTAGGTCACACCCCAACCATTCTCATGAGATTTTGTCCATCCCTACCTGGTAACCAGCAGTAAAACACACACTCAAAGCACTTTTCAACGCACACACTCCTCCTCCCACCGTACCTTTCCCTCCGCCCCTTACCTACGTTTTTTTCCATTCTTAGTTTCCTACTCACTGGTGGGTTGCATCTTCTTGCTTCATACTACTTTCCATCTCGTCTCCATTTCCCATTTCAGTCTTTTGAATCCATGCCCGTGAACCAAGGGTGTTGCGAGCTAATTATTTCTCAGCTCTGATCTCTGTGCTGATTTTCCTGCTCGTCAGGTGTGCGGTCTCAGGCTATAAAACAAATTAATTGTGCATTCAAGCTCGTCTCTTCCTTGCTGACATGATCCTCAGCTCCACACTGCGCTGCTGCTGTTGCTGCTGCTGCTGCTGCTGCTGTTGCTGCTGTTGCTGCTGCTGTAACAACAGCAGAGTGACTAGGTGCAGCGCAGAATGCGGTGGCTGCTTGGTCAGCTCCTGTGATGAGCCGGCCCTCTTCTGTTGAACACAGATCACAGTCAATGAGGCTGCATTAGAGCAACACAATGGACTCCCTGCTAGGCACTCAGGAATTTGATCTTTATGCACAGATATAGGTCTGCTTTTCCTGTCTTTTTACATATCAGCTTTCGTATTAACTATTATATAGATTTTTTAGCGTTTAGTTTCTTAGGTTGTGCTGTTAAGGGTGGGAGTTTTTTTTCCATATACAAATGAGAATTTCTGCCCAGTTTTTCTGTGAGAGCCTAGTCTTTAGCAATGTTCCCCTTTACTGTGCAGTATTCTGCTTGATGTTAAAATATTTGAATGAAACTTAATATCGTTGCAATGACATAATTTACTGTGAACTCTGGGTTAACTATTTTTCATTGGGCATATGCTTACAATTTAACACTAATTCCAAATATATACATATTATATATAATATATATCGCACTTGACAAAACTATTAGCCTCTTTTTAGACTGGTTGTGGTGAGTGGAAAATCTTCAGTGCATATTGAACTCCAGTGTCTAAGCTGTACCTTTTCTACTGAGTATGTAAGCGCTCTTATAGAGCAGTCATTGAATTTCTGTCACTGTTAATATGAAAGGTCAAAGGTTATCAATATCCCAAGATTAAGATTAATGTGGGCGTAAAAAAAAAATACTTTTTTTTTCATGCAAATTTCTGACTCACTCCCATTGATTGCTATTTTCCATCACCTGGCTATAATTTGACTGTGCTTTTTCTACCTGCAAAATAAACTACACCTCTATGCAAATGACAAGTGACAAATTTGGATGTGATGTAAAGTGACAGAGCTGCGGGCTGGGTGTGAGATAAATACGTGTTTGTTAATTAATGTGGGTTGTTTTCTGTAAATATTGGACAGGTAGGGAGCCTGCAGGTTTCCTCTATGCTCACCTCATCCTCACCACATGAGCCACAAACGATGTTAGGGCTTCACTTCGAGCCTAATGAACAAAGTAATTGTTTGCAAGTAAAAGCAGGAAGATTATACAATGTTTACATTTACTTAAACTTTGTTAAACTGTTGTTAAATAAATGTTAAAACATATATAAAAAAGACATTGTCCCTCCATCTTGGCCTCAAAGCTGGTTTGACTTCTGGGGACAGTGACTACTCCCATTTTGTCCATCTCCACCTATCTGGTTCTGGCTAGGGACTTTTCTGTCTGATATTCAGGATCAGTATTTGTCCGATATTGGTCAAAAATTCAGGATCGAACATCAAAATAAAAATGTCTGATCCGATATTATCTATTGGATACTCCTAGTTGCGGTGTTGGTATCAAACATAGGAAAGTTGTATGGAGCCAATCCGCAGTTCTGGCACGACATGGTCATCACTGGTGCTCCCTCAGAACCACACGGTCCAGATAAGCTAGTTAGCTTTATGTCACGTCCGTGGCTCTAGTTGTTTTCTGTTAAATCCATTCAGTAAAATGTATTTTTGTGTTTCAGTGTGGAGACCCATTCACTGCCGAGGACATCGTTGTGCTCAATGGCACCAAGGAGGAAGTGGAGCAGCTTCAGAAGAAGATGGCAGAGAAACGTGTCAAGACCAAAACAAAGGTGAGTTTAGAGTTTTCATCAAGTTGGAGCTAGTTTAAGAGACAGATATTTGTGTCTCTGGAGTGTCTGTCTTAAAACCTGGGCAGATGTCCAAGAACCTGGGAATGTGTTTCAAAAGAGCTGTTTGAATTTCCCCTGCTAAAGTCACAGTGATGTGAAACTAACCTCAGGTTTCCACCCATGTTGAGGAGGTGGGCGGAGCATACAGTTGAAAGCATACACAGAAACCAGCTGTTCAGAACTGTTATATAAATGTATAAAGATGTGTTCAGTCCTTGGATTTGTTTTTGTTTGTTTTTTATCTTTTTTTGACCAAAGCTTTTACCTACATACATCTGTAAGAGCTTACTGTAATTAAATATATATAATATTGAAAGTTCTTTTGTTCACCTTTTTCACCTTTATCGACTTCTGCAGATTTGTTAACATAATATGAATATAAATGGGCTCTAAAAAGTGAACTTCAGAACAGCATGTGTTGGAAGAAAGAGTAACTGTTTTTGTTCCTCTTCCTTTTTCAGAAATCAAAGAAGAGCAAAGAAGCTGAAGCTGTATCAACACCATCAGGTTTTTTTTGCCTCCAGAGGCTTCATGACTTCATGATCTCTTTCCATAAATATCATGTTTTCATCTCAAAATACAGTGGTCGCTCTCTATATCGTGGTTCTCCTTTTGCCCCCTCAGTACATCGCAGATATTTTTTATTCCAATCTTGTGAGAGTTTCGCTATATCGAGGTATTTTACAGAAAATATTTTCATTATTCTTGTGATTTTCTAACTAAAAAACAGTAAAACAAAATATAGCAAAAATGAACTAAAAAACATTGCTGGTAGCTTTGTTTACCTAGAGGAGATCTTCTGTTCCTCACTGTCATCGGCTCCTGCATCTAATTCAACACCCTATGATGCCTCTTAAACGCTGTAATCATCATCTCAGTCTTCTGTAACGAAGCCCAAAGAAGACGCTGACACAGATGACAGTTAACAGCCTTTATTTCTCTCTACAATAACATGCACTACTGCACTTGTCCCAGCTTTCACATACGGTCCGTCTTGGCCAGTATCGCTCCTCTGTTACATCTCTCCTTGGTCCCTGCTTGATTACTCCATTTGCACTCACCTGCGTCCGGGGCTGCACTTGCGTCACCACTCCTGTGCTCTCCCTCCTGCAGCTGAGCGCTATCCTCCACCGCATCGTGTATTTAATTTATTTACGTAATATGTACATCCTACAACTGTTGTAATGGGAAAAGGTTACAGGTGTCATGATACGAGTGTAATCGTTTCTTTTTACAGTTCAATAGATCACATTATCTGGCTCTTTTCAGTGCTAATATTTAGTGCACAGAGCTTGACTATAATGTTTTCTCAGAAACAGTTGGTGTGGTTTCCCTGAAGAAAACATTCTTGAAACCAATTACTGGTTCATTTATTATTTGTGTTCCTGGTATGTGGAAGTAGATGTGTACCGAAACAAATGCACACATGAAAGAAATGACAAACATGAAGTAGGTCAAGTTATGTGGTTGATAGTCACTCTTTATTGTTTGACAAAGCTGATGAAATGATTAAGTAAATTCACAACATCCTGACACCAGGTTTCAAACCTCATTATTATAGTCATTATTATAAACGGGAACAATTGCTTTGGTTTTATTCCTTAGATCAGTGGTTCTCAAACTTAGTACCACCATGATGACCAACATTAGAATATAGCAGCATAGGCCTTCCCTATTAGCTACCACCACACAGGAGATATGTTTATAAATATGTTGATGTTTAAATGCTGTATTAATTATGCATGGTATGTTTCAGATTTATTCAGTTAAAATGTAAATGTGAAAATATGAATTTTCCCCATGTACCACTAGAGAGCGTACCATAGTTTGAGAACCACTGCCTTAGATCAGCAGCCCCCAACCTTTTTTATATTATTGTTTGACCTTAACAATAAATCAAAAGATTGCCTGACAATCCCATTTTGAAATGGTAGCAAATATTTTCTTATATGATGAATTAAGTGATTTTACTCTATAAACCATCTCTCAAGTGACTACAATATTTGTGTCAGTGATTATAGTTGTTTTAACTAATAATAATAATAAAAAACCTTTTGTCACATCCCTAGATGAGGCCGGACCCTCTGGAACCTCCAGCTCCTCCAAGGAAACAAAGTCTGCGACGGCGTCTGCAACAAAGAGATCCGTTCAAAGCACGGAGAAGTCAGAGGTCTTCAAGTCCCTGTTCACATCCCACAGCTCAGCCAAGCGTACCAAAGAGCAGACATCCAACTGGGTCACACACACCCCATACCATTTTTAGTACCGTTACATATTTCACAGCAAAAAAAAAATTTTTTTACGTTTTTTTCTCTTTTTGTTTTTGTTTAAGGACATTTTTTTAAATTATATTTAGTCCAGATTCACTTTCCTTATTTAACGCCTGTCTCTTCAGACCTAGAACCTGTGTATTTACTTGTTGTGTTCATTTTATTAATGGCTCCCCAAGCTGTTCGACTCCTTGTTTTGTAGCCTAATTCCTCCCCCATGTATTCTCTGTATCACCTGTGCTTCGAGAATTGATGCTTAGAGACCCGTTTCTCACCTTTACTCTGCTGCCCCCCAGTGGGCATTTATAGATTGGATTTCAAGTAAAACTGTTTCACCGCTTTAATCTCAAAATAAAATTATCAAATTTTTTTTTATCTGGAAAAAAAAACCCTTATAAGTGTGTCTCTTAGCTATCTCTTATCTTTACTAAATATATCCACCTAGTTTATTTGTGGATTGTAGTGATCTCAATGACTTGCAATCGATTGATTGATGAAAAATATTTTTCAAGTCGTTTTAATTAACAGTTATTAATTACCTCCACCCAAGATGTTGCAACAGTGGTTGACTAAAGGCTTGCCCTTAAAGCAAGAAGATTGCTAGATCGACCCTTCTGTGGATTTTTGGATGTTCTCCCCGTGTATGCGTGGGATTTCTCCAGCTAAGTGAATGGTTGTTTGCAGAGGGGTGGACTCGGGTCACATGACTTCAAGTCATGAATTTCATGACTTTGGACTCGACTTGACAAACCTTTGCAACTCTTCTTAGATTTTAACATCTGTGACATTAGTACTTTCCTGTTGCTGTATGAAAACTTTTTTTCTTCTAAAAATATATTTTAATAATGTCTATTTAGGCTCATGGCTGTTGCTAGCAAATGTGCTACTGTTTCTCATGCTCCACAACATAGTTCTCTCTTTAGCACAAATTATTGACTTGGCAGCATGTTTTGGGGCATAAACTTGCATTTTATTTATTTCTAAAAAATTTTTGTTGCATTTTTTATGATAGTAAGACCATAGTCTTGAATAAGAAAAATATTAATATTTTCAACTGATCTGTGTTAAAGATGCATTTTCCGTATGATTACAGATTTTTGACATTTTTTAAAGGAAAAATAGCTGAATTTGAGTATTTCGCGATCAAATACAGAGCAGATATCCTGGGTGATTCTGACTTTTTGAAATCCTGACTCCAGAGAAGTCAGTGCCTCACCAGCCTTGAACTTGAAAGCAGGACCTGCTCTTCTTGCAAAAACTGTCATCTGTGTTTATGTGATCCTCACACAGTATAACCTCCTGACAGATGCTTACCATGTAATCGGGCTGGCATATGAGTTTCTATTGACCCTTTCAAGCACTTAAGTTGCATGTGAGCAGAGCTTCTCTGGCGAGATAGCGCTGTTTTATTTGGCCTCTAATTATCTGCACGAAGACCGTTTGGTTTGACTGGTCCAAACATTTTGGGTGTTGCGACTTTAGCCACGTGTGTTAGGGAAGCAGCGGCTTGTTCTGTGGGGAACGTTTGCTTCAAAGCTGTTCTTTCACTTTGTAGGGCAGTATAACGATGAGACAAACACGAAGAAGACGACACTTTATTATCGAGCGTACAAATTTACACGTTTCATTATTTAAGCGTGTGCGCGCGTACTCGTGCACGTATGATTAAGTAAATCCCTTAAGGTGTAGCAGCAGACCCATATCGCCATCACCTGGACCGGTGGACTCCACGACGCCAAGAAGTCCGAATCGTTTTTGTTACGTGAACGACATAATCCTGGCCGTTTTTGAGCTGCTCAAGTAGGAAAAGAAACATTTCGAGTTTGTTTTTGTTTTGTTTTTTTGTAACCGGAAATGAAACTTTTGGACAGTGTTGTGAAATGTTTACAGGACATCGGGGCAGGTAAGATCAAATACTACGCAGTAAATGATCCAGTCCGAGATGGTATCATCTGAGAGCATATGTGTGGAATGTTTTCTTTATTTTCATCTTGTGTTTCAGGCCAAAAGAAGAGGTTTAATAAAGTTGTTCCACACCTGATGATGGGACCGTTGTTGAATCCTGTGAGCACACGTAGTGGTGAGTATGTGATCTGTCCATCTTTACCTGAAGTGTTAGATAAAGCTCAGAGTTACTGTTGTAATTTGACTTGTATTGAAATGTGTATCTATGGACTTTGTAAATGTGGAGTTAGAAGGTATTTTATTCATTGTGCAAGTATTGTGGTTGGTTTATAAGAACTTAGTAAGTGTTATGGTTGTTTTTTTTAACTTAGCTTTTTACTTATAGCTTTTTACTACTTATCGTTTTACTAAGTAAAAATATAGGTTTTTAGCACAAATTACTCACTTGGAGTATATCTTGGGGCATAAACTTGCATTTTGAGGTATTTATTGGACTTTAATTTATTGGACTTTTTTGTAACTTTTTTGTATTTTTTAATAGAGAAATTAATTTTATTTACATTTCTTTATTTTATGACAACTTTCTCATTACTGCAATGCATCAAGGTTTGTGTGAAGTTATGCTGTTATGTGATTAAGACAGATGTTTAGAACATTAATGTACACTAACAGATGTTTTGAAGTAAATGAAACATTACTAATTAAATATTACAATACATTTAGCAGACACTTTAATCCAAAGCGACTTACAATTTGAGTCATTCAATCAACAAGAGGAGACTTAGGTGTTTTTTTTGTTGTTTTTTTTTGCGACTTAGGTTTTTTTTTTCAACTTAGGTTTTTGGACTTGATTTTGGATTGATGTCTCCAAAATACTAAATAATAAATAGTAATAATAAATAGTAAAAGAACAGTTCTAGGTCATAGAATAAGAAGCATCTTTGATAATAATGGAAAAGTAGAGGGACAATGGCCGTTAGCCTAAGAGTATACATCTGACTGTGGTGACCTGGGTTGAATTCAGGCAAGGTAATTGTGATACTTAGGAAGTTTACATCAATCAGCCACAGTGTTATGTTCAAACTGACTGCTGTGGCTTTATTTATTTTTCCAGATAACATTTCAAATGTCTGATATGTCTTGCCCAAGGATTTAACTGCTAGATAATATTAAAATTAAACCTTCATCAGAGTTAGTACTTTTATTAAGTAGAATATTTTAGTACTCTTTCCACATCTGACTGTGAAATTATGTGATTTTTTTTTTCCTTAAATTTGACTACACACCTAACTCTACACTTGTGTGATTTCCTTAGATTCTTCAGAGACTGAGCTGTATGGCACATGGTTACAAAAACCATCATACCTGTTCATTTCAAAATATGCTGCCAAGTGAATATTTTGTGTTTAAAAGTCCAAAAAGTATTTTATATGACTATTTCAAAAATCACCCAAAACATGCCTTACAATAGCCTTATCATCGTGAAAATATCCATGAAAATAACAAGTCTCCGAAATGCCTTAAAATGTGAGATTATGTCCTAAAACATGCTGCCAATTGAATATTTTTTTTAAAAGTCCAAAAAGTATTTTATATGAATATTTCAAAAATCACCCAAAACATGCCTTACTATAGCCTTACCATTGTGAAAAAATCCATATAAAATAAAAAGTCCCAGAAATGCCTTCAAATGCAAGATTATGTCCTAAAACATGCTGCCAAGTGAATATTCTGTTTAAAATTCCAAGAAGTATTTTACAGTGGATATAAAAAGTCTACACACCCTTGTTCAAAGCCAGGTTTTTGTGATGTAAAGAAAAGACACAAGCATAAATAATTTCATAACTTTTTACACTTTTAATGTGACCCATAACATGTA